AGTAAGGTTTGCTAGCTCTTTAGCTGCCTTAAGTCAATTTGTATCTAACATGCTTCCTTCTTTACGCAAAGCTGTATGCAAATGAACAAAAATGTAAACAATGACGTCAGCATGAATCCGCCTATTGATGGGAACATGGCAACGAGAAAAACACAAATAAATTAGTGGAATGAAAAGCGTTCGTTGATCTCTGTGGGATTTAGACTGCCAGTTTGAAAGATGAGCTTTTTTTTTTGTATATACTTGTCACTTTGCCGACATCCTAATTAATATTTAAACATACAGTAAATGCAAACCTAGTTAGTTAACCTTCACTGAATGTATTGAGTTGATCAGTGGTGTTGGCAGGCTAACCAAATGTGTCGGCGAGTCGACAAATGGCGAAAAACAAAACTTTTTACCCAGGGAAAGTCCCAGCTTGGGTTTCTGAGAATGCGCATATTACTCCCGTATAATCTATTTTGGCTTTCACATTACTAATGTAAATGTGGACGCATCTGTAGTTACATTTCACAGTATGAGTACTTCGCATCAATTCGGGTTTACTTAAACAAACGAATACGAAGGATGTTTATGGCATCAGTCTGTCAGAGTTTGACACTCCATTTACCGGTCCCTCTCGCTGCGTGAATACGAGCCCGCTGACATACAAGATAAAGTTGTGGTATAAGCCAATTCATGTTGGGGGCACAGAAATTCATAACTGTGAACCCCTCGTAAAAATTTTAGCTGCGCTGTGCACTTACCCCGCATTTTTGCAGCTGTCTGTTCACGTTTGTTGTCACGTGAGGAGAAAACACATCTAGATCAAACGGATCGACGCAGCTTTCTAACGCGTCTATCACATGTTCCAGCCGCCTTGAAAACTCCGAATCATCATCTTCGACCCGGCCCATGAGGATTGTTGATACGAATCTAAGGTCAAACAGTATCTGTAGGGCGTGGTTTTGAGTCAAACTCGATTTGTGCTCCTTGACTAATTTCTCGTGTGTTGACAGAACCCCATGTGCCAGGTTACTCACCAGCTCTTTAAGTAATGTCCTAGAAAGGAAAAAATGTTAGTGGTATTCATCAAAGTAAAAGATAAAATTTTATGAAGCTGGTCCTCGTTTTTATCCAAGGCGAAGGTGGTAAGAAAAGCTGAATTATTCTACTGAGACGCATCAAAATTTTGCGGCTTTTAATTTGTGCGAATTTCGCGCTTTGGCCTTGATCCACACAAATAACTTCCCGCACAAAAAAAATTAAAAATAAAGAATCAACCAAACAAACAGAGAAACAAAAATACGCATAAAAGAACACTGTAATAGTTTATTACTATAATTTCATACAACAGGGAAGAAGGCACGTGCTGGTCTCTTGTTTTAATTTGTTGCTATTTTGTCAGTCCTTTAAGGCTTAAACATATTTCTGTTATATAGAGTGTACTGGAATAGCGTTTCTTCCTTGCCAACGCAAAAAAACCGCCATTCGGCGGAGTAGATATCCCGAAAAACATTTTCTAAGCCCTTGGGTGTCGGTTCGCCAGAGCTACGGTAATAGCTCTGAATTTGGTTAAATGTGAAGATTTCTTTCTTTAACGCAAATTCGAGGCTGGCTTTGCGAAATGAGTATCTAACACTGCTACCATATTGTTACCTTTGCAGAGCGTGCGCCCCTGTTCTGTTGAGCTCTTGGCATAGATTGAACAGCAAAGACATAAGATGAGAAGACACCTATGGGTAAAGTAACAGCACCCATTAAAACCAAAAAAATCTTACAACGATAACAGCCTTCAACAAAAAATACCTGGGATGGAACTTTTATAATGGACTCTATCTTCTTCCCCTCTTCTGTTTCTTCTTCAATTTTGATTGATTCCCAGTTCTATGGAAAGAAAGCCTGCATTTGAAATTTCTGAATATAAAAGTTTTACCTGTTTTTACAATCCCAATTACAGACGGCTATAACATTTGATTAAAATAAAGTACTATTAACGTAACGAAAAGACTCACAGAAGAACATGTAGTGAAGCGCCGATCATCAATTGTAAAATTTTGAATTTACTAGTGTGAGTCAAAGGCGTTCCGATATCTCAGGGTTGCGTCGAACGTAATATGTTTGAACGGAAATGAAAAAGAGAGGGTAACTTGCAAACGCTGTCAAGTGATCCTTACACTTTAAATTTGCATGTACTGTTATATATGACATTTGTGTTCCAGTTGTTGCCATACTCAGAGATTACAGAGGCACGAAGTAAAATGATGATCTACTTCACGCGAAGATAGGAGCAACACTGCAACAAACGTATCCGAATATAAACCCCTTTAGCACATTTTCCAACCAAGAAAAGCTACCATGATGTAAGCGGGACCGAACTCCACTATATTGTGCATGAGAATTTCATCTCCCGGCACCCTAACTTGCCCCTTTTCTAGACCAAGTAATCAAACAGCAACACGTGATCACCACTCAAGTAACGCGTCTTGCAGAGGCACCATAAAAACTTCCCACAAGACAAGTTGGACTGAAATAGTAAAATTGTTTAGTATTAAATGACCAAGTTTGATTCACTGGCGGAACACTGAGTAACTTACGGTTATGGTCAGCAAAAATGAGCTTTTGTCGCCGTGAATCAACGTCGCTTCCAAAGAGGACAAAAAGAGCACTGATATCCAATCTTTCCATAACCTGAAGAACATAAATTGGACACAGAGTTAACCCCGTGCCCCTAACAGTAACTAGCATTCAATTTCTATTTACAGTATCACCTCCGAATCACACATTAATGTCATCAATGAAAAGAAAGCAAATGGTCACTAACTAAAACAGCTCTTGATTATTAAACAAATTCTCCTTGTCAGCACCTTAGGAAGTGTATAGGGAACAGTATGGAGAGTATGCATACTGATTTAGTAATGAGAGTCCGCTATTGAGAATCTGTAGTTAGCACCAAGAGAGGAGCTTATCCTAATATAAACGTTTAATTGTCAGTTTGGCGCAATAACGGTTGGGTCGAGTTGTTAGTTGACGTATAAAGATGGACATTAGCTAAACGTATTCCAGCCTGTAAAATAAGTCTTGACTGGAAGCTTTTTAGCAAATCAAGATTATACATTAGAAAAACGCGGCAAGAAGTCCCTGTTCAATACATGTACGTCAAATCTTCGAATCAAGGTGACGTTACTTAAGAACGATCATCGTCATAATGATTACACCGATATGGTCGAACAGACAAACTTTACCATTGATAAGTACTCATTTCCTCTTCAAAATCAAATGCAACGAGTATGCTTCGTTTCCTGCCGAAAAATTAGTTACAGCTTCGAACAACATCTGCGAGTTCAACAACTTTCTTTACCTGTATGTAGTAAGGTACCTCTGTCTAAGAAAACTGGCCAATTCTGCCATCTTACCGCCTTTGCCTGGTTCTCCCTGCTGTTTAAAGATTCAAAGCGACAGTAGATGTGCTTTACAGCAATCAGGATGAATGAAATGCTATAGTTTGTAACAAGTAGCTAAACACCCAGGCCTTGCCCCTACCCTCCCCCCAACATTGAATTGTTTTTGCTTTTAGGTAACCCAACAACTACAATGGTTGTCCACGACATCAAAAAAAAAATATCACAAAAAAACTAAAATCGAAACAGTTATCAAGCCACATGCTACTATCTATGTATTTCAAGACGTTCTTTTGTCAAGTCTGTACTACTAATGACAACACTTAACGACACTGTATGATGTACCGTCAGACTAAGAAACCCGCATGGCACAAGTCGTTGACGGCCTCTCATCCCGAAAGCTAGTGTCATTATTAATACTAACCTTTTTCTTTAATGAGCTGGAAGACTTTCTGTTGAAATAATGTCATTAACACTTGTTTAAAGTTTCATCTATGATTTACGCGTTCGGTGGGAAGAGCAGAAAACGAAGTACTACGTTAATATTGTTAAGCTTGAAATATAACGAATGAATGGTAAATTCTGGTGAGAAGATTCACATCTTTAGAACAAAAGCAAACATGACATTCCTTTGTTATTCAGATTTATCACCTGATAACGGAAATGTATGGCACCGTAAAGATTTTCTTAGGAGCCGACCATTTAACTTTA